AATTGCCAGATATGTAAGTTGGCGCGTGCTAAATCAGTTACGCCAATTATGGCACCGCTTCCAGCCGACCGATTGACGCCGTTTGTCAGACCGTTTACTTACACTGGTGTTGACTACTTCGGTCAGGTGAAGGTCACAATTGGCCGGCGCACTGAAAAACGATGGGTAGCGCTCTTAACATGTTTAGCAGTGCGCGCCATACACTTAGAAGTAGCGCACGACTTGTCGACCGACTCATGCATTTTGGCAATAAGGAATTTTATCAACCGTTGCGGTACCCCGGTGAGAATTCGTTGGCGCTGACCAAATAGCTAAGCGTTTCGAGGATGTTTTCGACTGTGAGAGGGTGCAAAGTGAACTAGCAAATAAAGGGGTCGAGTGGATGTTTGATTGCCCAAATAATCCTTCGGAAGGTGGCATTCGAAGCGAATGGTCAGATGCGTGAAGCGTGCGATCAAACTTTACAAAGCGCCATCATCGAGGCAGAAAACATCGTTAATTCCCGTCCTTTAACGCACATGGCAATGTCGGCTGACCAGGAGGAGCCGCTCACACCAAACCATTTCCTATTAGGAACCAGCAATACTGCTAAAACACCGACGTTGAGCGAGGTGGAAGAGAAGACTTGTACATTGCGCAAGCAGTGGTAAAACGCGCGACAGTAATTATGGAAACGTTGGATACTTGAATATCTGCCCACCCTAACACGTCGAGTTAAATGGTGTGAAAAAACAAAGCCATTGCAGGAAGGTGACCTTGTTTTCATCTGCGATGCCGATGTGCCACGACGTCAGTGGTGCCGTGGTTTGGTGATACGAGTATATACAGGTTCTGATGGTGAAGTAAGGCGGGCCGTCAGGACGAAGACTGGAGTTCTTCGCCGACCAACTTCTGAACTTGCTGTTCTCGATATCGAAGGTGGTAAATCAGGGTGATTCACGGGGTGGGGGTGTAATAAATGCACATCGCTGATAATCATTTAGTAAAAAATACTTGTAACAATGTTCAACACTGGTAGTTTTAGCATGTCATTTTTATCTCCCTTTGTAAACTTACCACACTTTGCCATGAACGAGATTCAAGATCAGGTAATAACAAGAGTGAAAAAAGTCGATTTTTTTAACGGGTTCTACGCCATCTTGTTTCACTTAAAAACGAGGGAAAAGTAAACAAACCAAAGAAAACAACGAAAACCAAAATTAGCCAAAATTATTGTCAGCCACTTTAAACGCACAATTTAGGTAAAATGATGCAACAAAATGCTTTAAAATGTGTTGTCATGTTGAATTAACTCTTCTTTACTTGAATAAAAGTGTAAAATAGTGGTGCTTGTGATGTAAACAAACGCTGAGCTGACGAACCCGCTTTCGCAAACTTTTTTCTCAAAACCATTTACAAAATACAACGTCGCGTTCTTACGTGATCTTGTATTTTTGGTTCATGACACTTTGCGCCTCTCTTTCGTATTCGTCAAAAGTAATGATTGAATGTCAGTAGTGTTCAAGAATAGGAGCGTTCCTTATCTCCCAGAAATAGTCAGAAAAAGTCCGAACTAGTCAGATTTAGTCCAAAAAGCGTTCCTTAACTCGGAAATAACAGCTAAAATGAGAGAGCAACACCCAGTGAGAGTGACTCTCATCAGTCCGATGTATTCTGATTTAGTCAGAAGAATTTTTTCTGGCAAAATTCTGAAAAGTGTCAAACTCAACTAAATCTAAATTAACGGAAATTAAAGAATACACAAAAAATGAGAATAATCTAAAAAAAAGAAGTGTGTCTTATTGAATTTTTCAAAGGTACAAGATCATATAATTGCATGGTTAGCTTTTATTGACATAACGAAAAAGTTTATCAAAAATAGGCTTTGCACTGGGGTGTCTTACACCCCAGTGTGTCTTCTGAAGGTTAAGTTAAGTAATTACAATTTTTCAGAAACAAAATCGGAAGGCTACATATAATAAATGCACGCTAAGAAGAAATGTCTGGCAACACCAGCAAAGTTTTGAGACGATTTTGCGACGGCTGCTAGAAAGGGGTGCTCACAGTTTGATGCTAAAGATGTCTCCAAATGTAGACGTCTAAATTTTCAGACACAATTTGAAACGAACTGTGAACACCCCAAATGATAGAATACAAGATTGCGCCGATTGCAGCAGAATTCGTGAGAGTAATTTTGGCGTGACGTCACCATAGAGCTGACAACTGAGAGCGACAAATAAAACTGCTGTCTAGTGATGTTCTGAATTGCCTGTACCCAATACTTAAACAAGGTTTCAGTACCCAATACTTCCTTATCGGTACCCGATACTGATTCTTTACATTAAACCTTCGCCATTATATGCATTTAAGTTTAGAAAAAACTTTCATAACTATACATATTCTGTAACCAGTTAGGCGAGTCTCCCCATCACCATTTTATCCATATTTTTGACCTATCTATAATATTATAAATGGTCCGGTACCGAGTATCGAGAGTATTGGATACTTGAAAAGTATTGACTCAGCACATCACGTCAGCAAAACAGCTGATTCTGTCAAATTCACTGGGAACCGATTAGCGGTATCGCCATCGGCGCCACCTTCTGTATTCTCTCCACCGTGAGTAGTGTCGTGGAAGTAGGAATGCAAATTTTCAGTGCCAACATCGATACATCGATATTTCGATGTATCGTAAACACTAACATCGATGCCGAAAAAAATCGCCCTAAAACTATCGATACATCGATATATTCCGATGTTTCTCTTTTTAATAAGTATGTTGCAGGTACTTCATGATTTGCAGGTTTTTACAGGAAGCGGTTAACATACGCCACCTTCCATAAGGTTTATTAATGGCGAAAACCGCTTTACCTGTAAAACCTGCAAATCCTGAAATACAGTGATCGTGATGGAAATCGCCTATGTTCAACATTGCCAATTGCTTTTATTAAGTGCAGGGCTGCCATCACCCATAATACACTTACCCAAAGGGGTCTGTCCCACGGTCAGTAATTATCACGATATTTGGATCGCGATCCATAT